CATACCTGTGAAGGTATGGAGACGTCTAGGAGAGAGGGCAGTAGACTTTTTAACCAGATTGTTTAACACAGTTTTGGAAAGTGAGAGAATGCTGGAGGAATGCTGGAGAAGTGTACTGCTAAGTGATTTTTAAAGAAAAAGTCATGGGATGGTGATGTAGTAACTACAGAGTGATAAAGCTGAAGAAACATACTATGAAGATACAGGAAAGAGTTGTTGAAGTTAGGGCAAGAAGAAAGCTGTTGATCAGTGAGCAGCAGTATGGGTTCATGCTGAGGAAGGGCACTGCACATGTGATATTTGCTTTGAGAGTATTTATTAGGAAATACAGAGAAGGTCTACGTGGGTGTAGATAAGATACCAATAGAGGAAATGTGGTACTGCATGAGGAAGTCAGGAGTGGCAGAGAAGTACATAAGGGTGGTGCAGGACTTTTATGAGGACAATGAGACAGTAGTGAGGTATGCAGTAGAAGTGACAAATGGATTCAAGATGGGGTGGAATTACATCAGGGAGCACCACTGAGTCCCTTCTTGTTTACGGTGGTGATGAACAGGCTGGCTGATGAGGCCAGGAAGGAGTCTCTATGGACTATGATGCTCACAGACGACACTGTGAGAGTAGAGAGGCCAGGGAGCAGGTGGAGGTATGACCTGGAGAGAAGATGAATGAAAGTCAGTAGAAGGAAGCAGGTGGGACAAGTGTCAGGGATTTATTTACAGAACAATAGCAGTAAGAGTGAAAGGGTAAGGTTGTGAGACCTGCTGTGATGTATGGTTTGGAGACAGTGATAAAAATACAGGAGGCAGATTTGTGGATGTCTCAGATTTGACGATGCTTAGATTTTTGTTAGGAGTGACCAGCATGGGCCAGATTAGAAATGAGTACATCAGAGGGACAGCTCAGGTTAGGATAGTGGATATAATTGGACAAAGGATGCTTAAGATGGCGCTGCTATGCAGGAGGAAAAGAAAAAGACTACAGAGAAGATTCATGGATACAGTGAAGGACATGCAGAGGGTTGGTGTAACAGAAGAGGGAGCTAAGGACAGGGTGAAATGGAGGCAGATGATCCTCTGTGGTGACCCCTAATGAGAGCAGCTGGAAGATGAAGACTTGAATTTCTTTGTTGTGTCTTTCTTGTAATACTCCTACCAGTAATTATTTTACCTTTCATAGGTTTCCTCATGCTGTCTTTTCCTCTTATTTTTGTTTTTCTCACGTTCCTTGCCTCCTCATAGCATTTATTTATTCTTTCACTATTCCTACATTTCCTTTCCTCTTCCTCTTATCACCATCATCCTATATCTATTTTCCCTCTCCTATATTTTCCTCCCTCTCTTATCTTTCCTTTCCTTTAGCTATGTTCCCTTTACACCTGCTGTGTTTCTGTAATTTATATCTAGCTCCTCTTCCTTCTTATTTCTCTGTTTTCTTTCTGTCGTCTGTTTTCTTTTCTCCTCTCACTGTGCTTACTCCCTGTCTATTGCAGTTATTTTACTTTTCCTTATTTATGTCCTTGTAGCTTTACTTTCCTTCTCCTGTATTATTTATCTCCTTCCATCTTTCCTTCCCTCATCATATTTCTTTCCTACCTCTTACGTTCCTCTCCCTACTTTTATCTTCTTTATACTGCCCATTATCCTTTCCACTAATCTTTCCTTGTTTCATCTTTGTTGTAAAAAGAGACCACTTAATATTATGTATTGAGAACTATGTTATAAATCATATTAAGTATATAGTCTGTACCACCTTGTTACACTGTAATAGTCTACAGACCTGTCTAATAACTGGATTTTTTTTGGTTTTGTCTTCTTCCACATACTCGTTCATACTTTTTCCTTCCATTTCTTCCCTGTTAGATTGCAGACTGGAGTGTCCGGTTTGCAGGGAAGAATATTCATTAGGGGAAACTGTAAGGAAGCTTCCCTGCCTTCATTACTTCCACAGTGAATGTATAGTGCCGTGGCTGGAGCTGGTAAGGCTGCGGTCAGTGGGTTTGAGGGGTTTAAAGGTCTGGTAATAAAAATAAAAGATTTCCCAGATTGTAGCATGCTATAAAGAGTGTTGTGTCACATAGTTTCTGCTGATTAACAAGAGTTTTTCTACTCTCAAAGCACGACACTTGCCCCGTGTGCCGCAAAAGCCTCGATGGCGTCGACAACAGCCTCCCGCCCACATCGGAACCCGCAGAAGCCCGCTCCCTCAGGACAGAGCAACAGGAGAGGCAGGCGATCTGAGAAACGTGAAGACAACTCTACTTCATTTTACAGTTTTCAGGAGTCACGCCTCCCACGTCGGAAATTTTGCTCCCCACATCAGCTGCTTTTAAATAAAACAGATGTGTCAGAGTCATAATTTGCAGCTTTAACTCTCACTTGGTTCACGCATCTCTGCTTAAGGAACTTCTACTCCAGCATAGTTACCATTTTATGCTACATCTGAGAGTTTGCTGACAAAATTCAGAGGTGATGTGTCCTCCTTGTTACGCTGCACTCTTAGGTGGTTTTCCGAATGACTGATTTTGATGTCATGAACTAATCCCCACTGAGCTATCTGTGGCTGTCAAAGAGGAACTCACAGAATTATGCATTATTCTCTTGGTAAGAGAGTTTCTTAATGCAGTATATTGTTGACCTTTTACCTGTGTACAGCCATTATTAAAGCCCAACCCAGTGATCTTTACTGTCCTCTGTCTTTTCTCCCTAACATATCTGAGATTTAGAAGCAGATATTAACCAGTCACTTAGAAAAACATAGTGTTTCCCAAACTTTCTAAGCCAAAAACTGGTCATTCTACAGAGCCCACAGTTTTTATAAAAACGTAACAATAAAAAAGGTCCGTGTTCAATTTTATTTAAGGGCAGCGTAATGGCATCAGCAAGATACGCTTTCTTTATTTTCCCTTAAAAAAGAAGAAGAAGAAGATTCATTTATCTTGGTTTCAGTTCACATTTTCAACTGGTTATGTGCACAGCAACACTGGGGCCTGCCCCACAGCTCAAAAACCACTGGATTAAGATATAATTATGTGCATATCTGCCAGTTCTATTTGTCTCTTTTGCATTTTGTGGTCAGTAACTGCTCGATGACATTGTCCATTTGAAACCTCTGTATGCTTTAACAGGAATTCATACCAAAAACAAACAAAAAAAACCCCCACATAGCTCTTCTTCAGAAAATAGTCACATTATATAGTCAAACTGCTCGTCTAAGATATCAATCTATTAGTGTATGACAGCAGAGGAATTGTCACAAATTTTATGAATTAATATGACTCATTTATTAAGCAAAAATTATGAGCATTCACTTGTTTCAGACCCCAAATGTTATCTAAGCTGCTTTTTCCCTGCTTTATATAGTTTCAAACAGCAGCGATCAGTTAACTGAACATGCATGTGTTTGGACTATGGGAGCAAGCTGGAATTCCCAGGTAACCCATGTAGGCACGAGGAGAACATGAAATTTCACGCAGAGAGGCCGTAGTATCTCTTTTTCTATCTGCTTAAACCAGTCTGTCCATTTTCCTCTGAGATCAACTAGACATTTATGCTCACTTGATATTTTCTCCACTTCAGACAATTCTCTGTAAACTCTAGAGATGTTAGTGTGTGAAAATCCCAGTAGATCAGCAGTTTCTGAAACATTCAGACTATCCTGTCATGAACTAACAACCACGCAATCAAAGCCACTTAAATCACCTTTCTCCCACATTCTGATACTTGGTTTGAACTCTTGCAGGCCATCTTGATCAAGTCCACATGCCTATGCATTGAGCTGTGTTATTGGCTGACCTTTTTGGTTAATGAGCAGGTGGACAGATGCACCTTATAAAGTGGTCAGTAAGCATATAAATAAGTATGATTTAGTACAGTGGCTACTGTCCTTACAAGTGGGAGCCCAGCTGCAGTGGTTTTAAAAGTGCAGCACAAACAGTGCTTAGCTGTGTATTCATTAGAGATGCAACATTAAATGTATTAATCCCTAACCAGTACAGCTGCTGTCCATATATATCTACACTGTGATCCGTAGGGAGCAGGTGGAAGAGAGCCTGGAGAGGTGGAGGTATGTTCTGGAGAGAGAGCGAATGAAAGAAAGTAGAAGTAAAACAGAATACGTGTGTGTGAATAAGAGGGAGGTAGGTGTAACAATGAAGCTGCAATGAGCAGGGGTAGTAGTTAGGGTAGATGCCATTAAATGACTGAGGTTAATCATTCAAAACAAAGGACAGCGCTGGAGAGAGGGGAAGAAGAGAGGGCAGGCAGGGATGAGTGGGTGGAGACGCGTCAGGGATGATTTGGGGCAAGAGTGAAGGGGAAGGTTTACAAGACCTAGTACGGTGTACGCTTTGGAGACAGTTGCACTGATAAAAAGCCAGGAAGTGGCAGAGCTGAATATGCTATAAGATTTTTATTGGGAGCTGCCAGGATGGACAAAATTATAAATGAGGATATTAGTTATAGTTTGGACGTGTGTAGAGGAGGGATGCGGAGCTGCGAGGCAGGAAGAAAAGAGGACAACCTCAGAGAAGTGTGACAGAAGCAGATGCTAGAGATCAGGTGAGACAGAATCAAATAAAAGAAAAATTTTTCTTGACAGTTTTAAATCATTTAATCAGCTTTTTATTATTATCCAGAAAAAACAAATACAAAAATGTAATAGCCAAAAACCAAACAAGCAATAAAAAAGGAAAGGATAAAAAAAAAAAACAACGCCAGAGGGTGATCGATTAGTCGCCCAATCCATCAGAGTCGAACATGACAACAGAGGGCAGGATGGTTTATTTATAGGCTTGACCCCTTGAAAGGAGGCACGAAACCGGGATTTGACAGTTGACTGTTGCGCACCGCCAAACACACCCTCGCCCTAGTGCAACCGAAAATAGCGAAATAATGAAACACAGTCATTTTTGTCAATGACTGGGGACCGCAGGAACCGCGTACAACCGACATTTGCTCTCTTCTCCTCACCTCCTCTCCTCTCCCCTCCGCCCTCCTCGGTCCGTCCTCCTTCCCTCCCTCCCTCCTCTCAGGGACCGAGAATGCCCGTGTTGTACTGACACAGTAGCGATACGGGCTGAGCAGACATGGAGGCCCGATTGACGAGAGAGGCCCGCGCTGACACATCCAGGCCCAGCTAATGGTGTGTCGGAGTGGATTTCGGAGCATCTCGGGAGATATTACGGATACCAGTCGCCGTGAGGAAAAAAGGATTTAGGCACCGAGGACGAAGAAATAAGAGGGAGATCCATTTCGGGTCTCTGTTGATTCAACGCAGCCGCCATTTTGTTGACAGTTAGTGTTTTTTTTTTTTAAATAACCCACACAGCCCTGCATCCTTTTATTTTATACCGCCGGAATATAAGTCCCTGTTTTTGTTTTACTCGCGTTTTTAAGCAGATTTAATTGCGCGTTTGTCTTTGAGGTAACGTTGGGAGATTATTTTCTGGTTTAGCTCACTTGCTAGTGCATCGCTAGCCGTCGTAGCTGAGATGTAGTAACACGAGTGCCTGCGAGAATGTGACGGAGATGCAAGATTATGTACATCACTTGTCCCGGGTTGTGTCACTTTCACTCGGTTTACACAAATTGTATGAAAGCTGTAGGCGTTTGTTATTCATTTGCTGCCTACACGGCGTCTAAGTTAAGTGAAATGTGCTTAAATAGCTCTCAAACAGGCTGCTGTAGATGGCTAGTTAGCTGCTGCCAATGCCATTGATACAGACTGTAGCCCCGTGTCTATTATTGGACTGATTGTACGGGCTGACTCTTTACAAAATAAACAACACTTTCGTGATGCATGGGGTTATATTAAGCTCCAAGTGGCGATCTATTACTTTACCGCTCCGGCTGTTAGTGCTAAGTGTTGTGGAAATAAAATTGTTAAGGGGGAGCGAGTGGGGGTGCTTTGCATGTTGGCACTCAGCAACTTTGTGTCTTGGAGCTTGGCAAGGTTAACGATCAATTTTAGTGAGTGGTCAGGAGCTGTGTGCAGTGGTTTCCGTTTGAGGTTGTTTGTAATACTCCTACAACAGCGTTGAGATATATTTAAACTGTAGCCCTTTTTAAATTGTTCTGATCATGTTTTTTTTTATTTTCATTTTGGCTTTTCAGCTGTTGGAAGATAATTTTAATAAAAGGGGGGGGGAAATGTGGCCACCACGTTGATACACAAGAAGACAGGACACAGCCAAATAATGTGAACACCGTTTCTGGACTATTTCAGAGGTGAGTGGAAATGATGCACATTGATAGGTGTTGTTTACGCAGGAGTAGACGTCTTCCCACCCCAAAAGCATGCTTGCAGAACCGCATGTAGATACTCGGTTTCTTTTGTATTAAGACAGTAATTACGAGTATGACTAGATAAGGGCAGTTACGGGGGAAATTAGGGCTGATCGGTTCGCAGACTCATGAGTTGGTCCCTTGAGGGGCTGTGTTGACTGCACAGGAAACCGAAAGCAGATAACATTATTTGGTTTGCTCACTCATGCTCTGGTTAGCCATGTTTCTTCTTGTTCTAAATTAAAGTGCACGCATGTTTTTGCGCTGTACTGGAAGTCCTCTGGTTGAACTTCCCTGAGCTGCTGGGGGAGATGTTTGCACGGTGCAGGTGTGAATGACACCTGCCTCTCTGTTCCGCTTTGTCGCAGCGAGTTAACGGAGTTTAATCATTGTCCCCGCTTCTTTCTTTTTTAAAGCAACGGTCTGTTACAATTCTATAGCACTTCCGCTGCTGGGTGATACAAAGCAGCGGCGGCAGTGGTGGTGCTGGTGGTTGTAGTAGTAGAGGAATTTGCCTGCTTCCACCCCCTCCTCTGAGCACGGCCCTGTAGTAATACTAGTGGAGCTCTGGAAATGACAGGGAGCTCTCAGGGCAGACGCCAGCCCTCATGTGAATGATGCAGGGGGTGGGTTGGTTGGTGGGTGGGTGGGATACTATTGCTATGGCCAAAGGGAAATAAGCAGTTATGAACAACGTGTGCAAAAGTGAGGAGGGAGTGAAAGGAGGGAGGGAGTAAAGGGGGGAAGAAATGAGAGAGGGGGAGCAGGAGTTGTTTACTACGTTCCTCCCTGCTCTGCTATTTCTTAGGTTGTTGGAGTGAAATTGATGTTGAATCTTGTCGTTTTTCTTTTGGCATTTGTTTGCGTTCATAGCATTGCATACTGGTCTTCTCAGAAAACAAAAGCAAAGGACAGACAGGCGTGACTAATATCAGCCTTCAAAACCACAAGTGTTGCTATTCAGTTGTTTTGCAGTATGACTATGGCAATGAAATGACTGTAGTGCAGTTTAACTGCTTCACATATACAAAAAGTACCTCAGCGCTAGACATGAAAATGATACACTTGAGTGTTAAGGCTGATCAATGAGAAATTAGAAAGCGATGTGGCCTGGTGTCAGATTATCAGCAGGGGAGCGAATGCCAGTAAATGACCTGACTTAGCTTGTTAGAGGTGAGGGGAATGTTTTGACTCTCTGGGAGGCTTTTCTGCCGACTTGTGTCACTAGCTGTCCACAGAGTTGGGTACTAAAGTGGCTTATTTTTGGCATTGCTGCTGTTATGCGACGGAAGCAGCTCCCATCACTGTGAGCATAAAAGAAAGAGGAGAACATTTGTCACTGTGTGTAAAAAGGACACAGGGAAAGGGAGTTGGTGGGGTGGGTGATGGGTGAAATGTGTTTTTGATTAAAGTGGGAACACAGTGACTTTAGTTTGTGTGCTGTTCTCAGTGCTTTCCAAGTTTGCGAAATCGAGGAGGAAGAGGATGGAAAAGCTTAAAGAAAACCGGGGGAAAGAACACCGAGATTGATGGAGTGTTAAAGAAAAGTGGGAGGTGTGATTTTCAGTGTGGTATGTGTAGCGAGGGGGAGTGTGCAGTTTTGAGGCAAAATGGAGTGAGTAATTGAAGTAAACACTGAAAGGACCATGTGGGGAACCGCAGGCAAGAATCCAAAAATTCTGCAGTGTTTACTGTGTGGTTTAAAAAAATCTCTACTACTGTTTTCCACTGTCATAATCCAAAACAAACATGGTGTAAGACTATAGCAAGGAAGATTTCCTTTTCCTTTTCCCCCCTCATCTTACCGTGATGCTTTACTGATGTGATGACTTGTATGACTTTCCTGAGGCTCCATTAAGTACCTCCTTTAGTGCTCTCCACTAATGTAGGATGCAGAAAAACCGCCGGCATGTTGACGCTTGATCACTCAGGCTGGAAAAGGCGGCTGGATCCTCTCGTCTAGTCCCAGAGACCTAGTGTGCTGAGGTCACAGTTCTGAATTGCCTCCAAATGACTTCACCCAGAGAAAGCACCTGCTTGGGGGCAAATCCGCATTAAATCACTCAGAGGCCGCGGGGAGCTGTAGACAACTTCATTGAATTGGGCTGTCCTCCCAAAGAGGACAATTAAGAAGCATGCTGCTCTCTGCTGCTAGCGTGTGAGCTGTGAGCTGTGAGCTGCCACTATCACAGGCAACCGTTTTCACTGCAGCTAATGAGAACACTTAAGGGATTGCTCATTCTGCATCTTACTCCGTAACACTTGGAAGGATGTGGCAGTGCTGTGGGATCAACTACTGACTCCAAGGAACACCAAAGAGCAAGCCAAACAAAATTTCAAGGGGGAAAATAGCCTCTAATGCCATCTGGAATGGCACGAGTGGCTATTTTCATTGTATTGTCAGACAAATGAACTATTGGGCCTGATTTTTACAATGTTATTACTTTTGGACTAAACTCCACTGGCTTCTAATTTATATCCATGCCCGTGACAGACACTTGCATGCAGTCATAGATGCGTTCTTGCCATTTCTGGGTTAGAGCTTGCTTGGCATTATGTTGACTTGTTGCTATCCCTGGTCTAGTTAAAGCCATATGACTGGTGGCTTTCACAGGCGTTTCTGACAAATGCTGTTGTCTTTAGCATCAGTCAAGGCCTTTTGATGTGCGCTGGCATAGTAAACTGAAAATTGTCATTCACCACTTTCTATGATCCTGCAATAATAATTTTTTTTCTTTTCAAAAAAAAAAATCCCCTAACCACACCTGGACCTGTCTCTAGGCACTTAGTTTGGAAGCCACTGCTCTAAAGTAAATCTGCTTTGGAAATCGCAGGTGGACAATTCAAAGTCCTTGTTCCTAAGGTTACATTTCTGAGGTGAGGTAGAAGGGACTTTGCTGTGTAAATAGGTCACAGATTGTTATAATCTATGAGGATGAGCGCACCATAAAAAGTGTCAGAGATGAGATGAAGGACACTCTAACCAAACAGATAATAAAATTGTTGCTCTCTGTCTGCCTTTCACCAGCGTTCATTTTAAGACTGTTTAAAACTGTCAGTGTTTCTGTTTTTCTATTTCAGTGACTAATGTGGGATTTATTTTTATCTTCTCTACCCTCCCTTTTCTTCTTTCTCTCCCCTCTACCTGTCCCTGGTCCTGCAGTTGAAGGACGGAGAAATAGGGCTGGACAGCCGAGGAAGGGAGAGAAGCCCTCAAAGCAAGGAGAGCTTCACCCTCACCGTTATCCCCCTCCCCCTTTCCCCCCTTCACCCTTATCCCATCCCCAGACAAAAACTCTACCTGGTATCCACATTAACCACTCCTTAAACTCCATAAACTTGTACCCCCCAACCCCCACCCCAAACAATCTAATGGATCAGAAGATTCAAGGGAGGACTGCAACTCCACCCCCTCTCCTGTCCGGTGCTCCCACAGGGGAGCGAGAGAAGGAGGGAGCGGGTGGGAAGAAAGAAGAAGAGGAGGAAAAGAAGAGGGACAGAGAGAAGGAGGGAACCCCCACCGCATCTGCTGGTGCAGGAGGCACAGGCGGGCCAGGAGGTGCCGGTGGTGACCAGTCCCATTTCTCCATCAAAGAGAGCAGCCTGTCTGAGGGCAATGTCAAACTGAAGATTGGCCTCCAGGCGAAACGCATGAAGAAGCCTCCTAAGATCCTGGAGAACTATGTGTGCCGACCGGCTTTCAGAGCCACTGTGAGGCATACGGGTCGTGGAGGAGGTAATGCCCGTGGAAACCGTGCAGGCGCCACAGGTGACGGGGCGGGCAGTCAGAGCCAGAGTCCTTCACAGGGCAGAGAAAAAGAGAGGGAAAAGAGTCCCAGTGTAAACAGACCACCCATCTCATCATCTTCAACAGCCCCAACTGCTAAAGCTCCCACACCACCTCCTCTAGCTCCTCCTCCTGCCAGCACTACCACCCTGACACCCTCCCAAATGAATGGGAACGCTCCGGCAAAAAAGGTATGGAGGCTAGATGCTGTGGATTTTATTTATTTTGGTTCAGCAGTGATTTTCCACTTTGAACAAAATTAAACATTCAGTGATGACAACTAGTATAATTATTTTCATTCACCTTACTTCCTTAAAATGTTATTGGTCAGCCACGGGTCTACAGCAAAGCTACTCTAGTAATCACAGTGTTATTACGCTAGTAAAGAGCAGAGCATAAATTTTACTTCAGTTTTCATTGTGTTCTCAGTTGGCTTGCCTCTATTCATCGCTCACTGGCCCCTTCAATCACCCTCCGTCTGTGTCGTCTGTCCTCTGCCTGGCTGTGTACTCTCCACCCCCATCCCCGCATGACCCCTTTCTCTCACTCTCCCTCTCTGTCCTCAGTCTGACCCTAATAAGTGTTATTGAGCTGAGGGTAACTTCCCCCTCTGGCCATGCCTGTGAAGCACCGTTGGAGTAAAGATCTTACCAATGAATGTGTAACATTCACTTGCTGCTGATACTTCCCATGTGTGTTGTCATGATGTGTGTCAGTTTCTGTTTTACGCTTTATTTTAAAATATTGCTTAATGTTGTGCAAGATTGCTTACATCTTAATTATGATGTACCTGGTGCTGTATATATCTAAAAGATAATATTTAACTTTAATATTGTACATTACCTTCTTCAAATTGCAAATCAAGCAGTCCTAGTTTGTGCCTCTGCTGCTTGTTTACCACATTCAAAATTATATATATATATAATTTAGAAATTTTGGTGGTGTGTTTGTTATTTCTTTACCATAATAATTATTCATCTCTATTATTCTCATTAATCCCTTGCCTTTTCTCCCCAACACCCTTCCAGGGTCCACCAAAGATGGATTGCAAGTCTGATTCAAAGTCAGACACAAAAGCAGCTACCACCACATCTGAGAGACCACTTAACCTTCACCGCCCTCCACCAGACAGCAAAACGCATTCCTCTGGGAAGAAAGCGCCAGCTCCGCAACCCAACCCCCGGACATCTTCACCATCTCCGCCATTATCTTTAACGAAAGAACCCAGCCTTGAAGGTGTTAAGCCTCCTCAATGCACCTACAGCACAGACAGTCAAAGAGATAAGGACAAAGGTCTTCAGAGTTGGGGAGCGCCAACCGTCACTGAAAAATTAGCTCAACTAATAGCAACTTGTCCACCATCCAAGACCCCTAAGCCAGCCAAACCTGCAAAGATTGATCCCAGCCCTCCTCTTCCGAGCTCAGGCTTTATGGCCCCTACAGCCAAGCAACGAGACAGAGCTTTGGCCAATAGGAACACATATTCAAGAATGGTTCACCTTTCTCCTCCACCTCCTGTGTCAAGACCACCTGGTCGGCCATATGGGTCTAGAAGCAAAGACAGTATTTTAGAAAATTCAACCACCCTGACGCCGCTGAGGAACGAGGACTTGGATGGGACTGGGAAAGCTGCTAGCAGCAACGGAAACAACAGTATCAGCATGAGCAGCACCAACAGCAGTAGTCGCAGCAACAGCCCAGCATTCACCTATGGCAATAACCGCCTGACAGTCCTGTCAAATGAAAGCAACAGTGACAGCAGCAACAGTAGCATTTCTAAGCAACCGTTACACCCTGCTCACTCCTTACCCCATACCACGTCACCTTCATTGTGTCCAATTTCATCATCTTCATCATCATCGGTGGAGCAGAGGACGGTGAGTGCAGTGAGTCACCTGGGCTCCCCTGTTCCCTCACAAGGACACCATGCACGAGAGTCTCCTGCCCTCGCAGAAGAAAGCAGTGCAGGTGAGCGAGAGCAAGACAGGGACATCCCCAGAGACTTATCCAAGTGCCCCCCTTCAGCAGCAACTGGAAGGCCAGAAGGGAAAGAGAAAGGGGGAAGCAACCAGTCAGTACGAGTTGAGAGGGGAAAAAGTTCTAGTCCAAGTAAACGTAGTCCCAACCAGGATAGTAACCGAAGCGGTTGGACTAGCAGTCCCACTGAGTCTATTAGACAAAGGACACCTTCCCCACTGGAGCCAGATGATGATGATGATGATGATGATGATGATGATGATGATGATGAAGATGATGATGATGATGAAGAAGAAAGCCCACAGACGCCTCTCAGAGATGACTCTCCTGATTCATCCCTAGACTCTCCAGCAGAGCAGGACAGCAAACCCCTTAAAAAGCGCAGGGGAAGAAAACCCCGCTGGACACGTGTTATGCTAAAGGCCCAAAGTCAGAGAAGCCCGGACAGTCTCTTCACTGAGAACAAAACCACCATGCCTTTATCTTCAAGCCTGGAAATTCCAACGCCACCAGTTAAAAGACCTGTAGGCAGGCCCCCAAATCCAAATAAGGTCAAACCAAATCCTGTGTCACAAAATTCAGTGTCACAGCTCTTCCCACCCCAGCCTAAAAAAAGAGGAAGGCCAAAGTCTAAAATGCCAAGGCTTGATGCACCGGCCCGTGGGAATCCCCCTAACAAGCTACAACCCTCTAAGGTCTTTTCATCTTTGTTGAAGTCCAAAGAAGAACAGGACCCACCTGTTCTTCACCCCGAGGTAGACTTAAACCCTCCTAAACCTATGCCTAGGAAACGTGGGCGCCCCAAGCGCCTTCCTCCTACTTTACCCCAGGAGGGTCAGCCTCCCACGTTGGCTCCAGAAGCAGGGGAAAGATTCCGCAACAAAGGAAATGGGCAGCTTATCATGAAAACTATTATTGGCAAAATCAATAAGATGAAAAGCGTTAAGCGGAAGCGTATTCTCAGTCAAATCCTTTTAGGCCCAAGGTCAGAAGACACCCCTAAAGGCACCACCAGTAGCATGGCTGCAACAGCAGAAGCTGCAACGCAGTCGTTGTCATCCCTAGCTGCTTCTTTTGGAGGAAAACTAGGGCCTCAAATTAATGTCAGTAAAAAGGGCACAATATACATGGGTAAAAGGAGAGGCCGTAAACCAAAAGTGGCAACTAATGTCTCAGCTACAATGTCACCTTCAGAAACCTTTATATCTCCAAACACCACTTCCCCTCTTCATCCCCATCAGTCACAGTCCCATCAGCAGCACCAGCTCTCCTCAGAGGTTTTTTCCTCACCCTCCCTCTCACAGTTGAGTGGAGGCCACAGTCCCATCAGCGATGGTAGCTTTGTGGAGCCAGGCTCAGTGCACTTCGCAGGTCACTCTCACTATTCCAACTCCCATCATAGTCATAACACGTTTTCGCTTCCTCCTCCAACCTTTTCAGCTCCTAATCCTCGTAACCCAGTCATGGGCTTGATGTCATCGTCTGGTGTCCCAGTAGCCTCCCAGAAAAAGTCATCTTGCCGTGGATATCATCACCACCATCACCATTATAGGCAGCACTACCATTATCATAAGCTTTCCCCTCCCAGGCCACTCCATCCCACCTCCCCTGCCCCTCTGAGTGAGCTAAAAGAAGCCACGCCATCACCAGTGAGTGAGTCACACAGCGAGGAGACGGTGCCCAGTGACAGTGGTATAGGGACAGACAATAACAGCACCTCTGACCGTGGTGAGAAAGCTGGAGGAGCAGGTGGCTTGGGTGCAATTGGCATCCCACCTGGGATGGGTGGTGGATTATTAATGCCAGGGGTCATGGGTTCAGCTATGGGTCCAGGGATGGGCATTAACTCAAGGGGCAGGCGTCGACACAGCAATGTACTTATGGAACATCCTTCACCGTCTCCATCACCCCATGGGACAAGGTCATCGCCTGATCCCCGAAGACCTCACCCAGCAGCTCCCGCCACAACCTTAGTGGGACACAAGGAGAAACATAAGCACAAATGCAAACGCCGAAGCCATGGCTGCCCCGGCTATGACAAGCTAAAGAGGCAGAAGAGGAAACGCAAGAAGAAGTACTTACAGCTACGCTCCCGACGGCTCGACCCAGACTTCCTCGCTGAGCTGGACGAGATTGTTGTGCGACTAAGTGAAATACGCATAACTCACCGCACCACAGGGCACCGGCTCGGAAGCGGAATAGGCATAGCAGCGGGATCAAGTAGAGTGCCAGGGGTGGGTGGCAGGGCTGCTGGCGCCATAGGAGGCACAGGTGGCCCTCCACCGCATCATTATGTTCACAGAGACCTCCTGCCTACAATCTTCAGGGTTAACTTTGGCAGCTTCTACTCTCATCCACCATACTCCTGTGACCCGTTGCACTATGTTCGTAAACCGGATATGAAGAAGAAACGTGGACGGCCTCCCAAACTGAGGGAGTCTATGTCTGAGGTTCCATTTGTACCTGGACTTGGATTCCCCCTTTCAAGTGGAGGCTTCTACCACCCCTCCTATGTTCCTTACTCATCAGGACCTCTGGGGTTGGGCTATTACAGAGGTTATCCTCCAGCAAGTGCGCTGTATCCCCACCCACACCACCAGTCACCCCATACGGCCCCATCACATCACACTCACCACTCACCGTCTTTCCCACCTCCCCCCACATCTTTCTTACATCATCACCACCCATCACATCTCCTGCTGAACCACTCAAAGTTTCACAAGAAAAAACACAAGCTGCTAAGGCAGGAGTACCTGGGAGCAGGACGGCCTCCTGTCCTATACCCACCCATGTCCTCTGAGCTCTCCTTCAACTGGCACCACAAACATAAACACAGGCACAAACACAGAGAACGCTGCGCTGAGGATGACAGGGAGGAAGCAGCAAGAGGTGGATCAGGGAGCCGAGCTAGTGCAGGGATTTCTGACAGTGGAACATCTGGGAAAGGAGAGCGAGTTAGTGGTTTGGGAATGGCAGAGGCTTTACAGCGATGCCGCTTTGGACGAGACACTTCCAGCACCAGTGCCAGCAAGCAAGCTGCCACTACCTCTGCTAACTCCCCCTCTTCTTCCTCATCCTCATCTGCTGAAAGGTACAAGCGCAAAGAGAGCTCCATGTCCTGTCTCGGACCTTCAAGGCTTGCATTGGGCAACAGCTCAAAGGGCCACTCAGCTGAGTCCTGGTTCAGAATAGGCAACTCTGAAGCAGACTACTCAAAGCTGTCACGGAGTCAATTGGCTCCTGGCCAGGGTTCCTTCTCAGACGGACGGGCAGAAGACCCAGCGGGCTGCTCGGACAGTGAGGATGAGGAGCCTCTCACTCCCACAGAGGATGTAGAAACCCACGATTCTCCAAAGCGTACAAATCTGTTTGCTTCAGCAATCACCCGCACTTCACTGAAAGGAGGCAGGAGCAGAAAGACTGATGTAGTTACAGAGAGCTCCAGCTTCTCTCACATGGACCGGCCAATGAGGAAGGAACACTCAACATCAGCAGAGAGGAGAGAGATGGGTAAGGCACTTTTGGAATCTCTGTTGTTTGGGTTAGGAATAATAAAAAAAAAACAAAAAACGAAACAAAAAAACATTTTCAGCTTTAGTTGACATTTATAGTAAAGGAGAATTTCTGGTGGTGGTTTATTTTGCTTTTTTTCTTCTTTATGTAGATCATAGGTAGTGATGGTGTATTTGGACGGCATTCCAATTAAATGTGCTCCTAGTGTACCCCATAGTAAAATTAATTTTATGGCAGAGCTTCAAAAAAAAAAAGTAAATGCAAAGTGGCAGGAAAACATAATTGCTTAATACCTTGCTTGAATAATCTTGGCATGTTTGTAGCATAGGTTATTAGAAACGTAATATTTTAAAGCAGCAGGGAGCAGTTTGCCTTCACCTCCTCTTGGATATTTCATCCATTAAATCCTTTATGATCTGTGTAGCTTTTCAAGCTTGTGTCTTTGATAACTTTTCTGTACAGAAAATCATTTGACCCAAATTAAATGTGACATTGTTAAAGGTTGCAGGAGTTAATTTTCCACCAAAATCATGCTTCCTAAAATAGTTCTGATGCAGTTGTATTGTGAATTCTGTGTCTAAATGTGATTGGCTGCTGTTTGATGGGCTTTATAGTTTTGGACAGCTCTGGCAAAACTGGCACAGTGTCCAATCATTTAGATCCGGCACTAACTCCTTTATGTGGGCAGCTGTTGCCATATGGCACAGCAACTGGGGTCTCAAATCCATACCTCACAACAAAACTGGAAAATTAACAATTCTCCAGTGTTAGGAAGAAAAAAAATACTAAGCTGGATGGGTCATTTATTTTAGTGAACAAGCCCACTTTAAAGACACAATGACATCTTGTTTGCATACGCTCTAACATTTGGTAGCTCTTAGTAGTGGTTACCAGCATGGCAAAAAAAGCATACATAATTGCTTAAACTAGCTCCTTTGTGTGTGTGGTTAGCCACAGTTATAGATATAGCATTTCTGCCAGGGCTCATCTTGCTAGAAGGGTGGAGTATTTTGTTAACGTGCTATACTTAGTAGTCTTTTCCCTCAAAAGCTCAGAATGTGGGGCCTAGTCCTATCCATCGGTACACCCAGCACCTGGGTTGGTTTAATGTTGCTGATGTAAGACACAGTGCCGTGGTAGAGATCTCGCTTCATCTGTGAGGCTCTTAACGAGCTGTAACGTGTGTATGAGCACTGGTAGGCTGACTGTATGTGAGTATCACCTAATGTTTATGCGTGTGTCTATGAGTAATATGGGAAGCCGAAAGGTCCTTGTTGAGGCAGCATGATGCAGTTCAAACCAAGCCAGGGTAATCCTGGATTAGAGTTTAGGAGATGGGGTCACCCAGGGGTCACAGACAGAACTGTGAAGGTAGGGGAGGCCAAGGGTGGGGACTGGGTTGCCACACAACGCAAGTGGGGAATGACAGAAGTTGACAAATATACAATGACAGGGTAGTGGGTGTAGAGATAGTGACGTGTAGCAAAAAGAGTGCAAGGGATGTTTTGGAAAAGGACGTGTGAATAGATATGAAAGAGGTTTCCGTTGAGATGGGCAGATTCAAAGAGTGTCACAGCACCTTGGACTGTTAAAAATATGGTTCAGTGATTGGCTAATTAACTGATCATCGCACTCTGACCTTATATTACAGGGTGATTTGCGGTCTGCTGTGTGCCAGTTCAGTACTGTCTAGTAAAGGAGGAGGAGGTTGTACTTTCAGGTGCTTCCTTATTTCCTTATTGTGGTCACCACAGCAGATGGATCTGCATGTTTGATTTGGCACACATTTTATGCTAAATGTCCTTATTTTAAAAAAAAACCGTACCATGAAGTAAAGAGGGTTTAATCTAAATGCATACACAATGTGTCTAATGATTCATTCAGACTTGTACAGTTGCCAGCAACTTCTATCCACTTAAGTGTATGAATTGTTATATTATTATTTTGGCATTTCTTTTGAAAGTCATATTTCAACCAAAATAAACCATTTGTATGGGTGACCAAAAAATGAAAGGATTTTGAGTTAGGAGTAAGAATAATGCTTCTTTTTGTCAACTAAAAAGACATATTAAATGCGTTAAATGAAACTGTGTAAAGTTTGATGGTGTAGACATTCTTAAAACATTAGGGTCTGTCTGAAATGAAAAAAATAAAAACAACTTAGAAATATGGTTTCCTAAGGTCAGACCAGGGAAGGAAGTATTCTAAGAAGATGCAGGAGATCAATATTAATGAGGGGAAAAATAGCAGCACAGTTTCTTTAGCCTCTCACTTTCTATTTCCATACCATTCCAAAACCTGTATTTTCTTATTTTTTAGCCATTCTGCTATTACTTAATTATGGGATTTGGGTCATTTGTCTTGTTTCATCACCCAGAGTGTCTTCTAAGGTTCAGGGCATGGACTGCTTCCCTGACATTGTCTCGTAAAATTCACTCATTTTTAATTCATTGTCCTTTAAAGGATTGCAAAGCAGTCCCAGACTATGATACCTCCTCCCCCATGCTTCAAGGCTGGTTGAAGTTTTGTTGTTAGTGTACAGTGTCCTTTAAAAAAGTTTTTTCTTCATTTGTGTAAAGAATATTGTTGGAAGTGTTGGAATACATCTAGGGGATGATTTACACACTTTAGAGGTGCTGCGGGTTTTTTTTATGTACTTGTTTTTGTTTTCTTATAGAAGAAATATGACCAAAGAACAAGTTGTACTGATTTCAGCAGTTTTTCTGCATTTTAGCAGAGTTTTTCTGCTACTCTTGGATTAACAAAAATCAAAAAGGAATGAAGTGTGATTAGAAGCATGTATGAGAGTAGAAAAGGACCTAAAGGAACAAGAGAAGACATGCATAAGCATAGTATCACTGTTTCCTGAGTGCTGATGTGTTAACTGTCCTGTTGCTACTTAGCATTTTTAAGATTCATTTAGACCATTCATTTTCTGTTTCTCTCCTCAGGGTCATCAGGTATCCAGACAAGGGGTGTTACACTCCCAACCTCGGAAGAACCTGAAGGATCCCTGCACCACCGCCAACAGCACCATCATCAGTCTTCTCTGTTTCACTCCCACAGCTCAACCTCCTCATCCTGCCTCTCTCCCTCTCAGGAGTGTTGCCTGGATGTCTCACTGTCTCACAACTCCCATCGCGTACAGCCCTCCAAATACAGTCTGCTCCATGTCAACAAAATCCTGCGTGCCAAGAAGCTGCAGAGACAGGCCCGTACAGGAAACAACATGGTAAAGAAGAGGGGGCCTGGACGTCCTAGGAAACACCCGTTACCCTCCCCACCACCGTCCCCTCCACCTGTGGTAGAGTTGAATCAAGTCCGGCACCGGGAGAAAGGGGTGGAACGGTTAGCAGAGGGAAGAGGGTGGGAGGGTGATACTGTGACTGATGCTATTGAGTCGGTAGTCCAGGGGCAACGCAGAAAAGGTCAGAAGCGAAAGCACTGGGAGAGAGAAGGGGATGAGGAAGAGGAGGAGGATGTGGAAGAGGACAGGGAGGCTGAAGACATGGAGGGACACTTGCCTGAAAGAGAGGAAAACCTAGGGAGCCTTGTGGCAAGGTCCAGACCTGGGACAGGAAGGAGCTGGCTTACCCAAGATGAGCTACAGAGCCTTCATGGGTAAGCAAATTATAATACACTATTGCATATTCAACAAGACTGGACTTGAGAGACTCTTCTCTATGACAGTGAAAACTAATATTAGGATTCAGTGGTGGTATGTATAACATTTATTAAGTCCAGTTGTCACTAGAAACCAAGTCATGTTTCTATCTTTAGCTCAGTGGAAACCAAGCCAGATGGCCACTGCTCATCAGAGGGCCCAGGCCCTGTCTCCAGGGAACAAGCTGCACCTATGCCCATAGCCACCCAGCGAGAGAAAAGACCAGCACGACCTCCGAAGAAGAAGTTCCAGAAAGCGGGGTTATATTCTGATGTGTACAAAACTGAAGAGTGAGTCTTAGGGGCGTGGAGATCCAAATCCTCTCCCTACTAATCCTTAATTCAGACAGCAACACTTCATAGTGTCATACAGTTTTTCTGCACAGCCAGTGAAATGCCTTCACATTTTTCTTTTCCTCTTCTACAGCCCCCGTAGTCAGTTTCTGCAGCTGAAGAAAGAGAAGCTAGAGTATATACCTGGGGAACATGAGTATGGATTGTTTCCTGCTCCAATACATGTTGGTGAGTTTTAAAATTAATTAGTTGAGATTTTTGCTATTGATTTATTTTATGATCATCAAAAAAAAAGAATTTAAGAAGCAAGGAGTTTTTAAACACTAAAAACCAAGTTATTTATTCATAGTGTAGTCATTTAATCATTTACCTAACAAGTAAACGATAGAAAAGAGACAAATTGGGGAATATGGGAACAGCTGAAAGTAGATTTAATTATTTATTTAGTTGAAGTTTTGAGCACATTTCTTAAATTTCTTTATGCAGAATTCAGTCGTTGGCAGGTTTCACAAATTTGAATTTCTCAGTTAGCTGTATGACTTGCCAAGGGAGGGAAAGTAAAACCTAGAAAACCTCATTTTGCTTCAGTCCGTGTCCAAGATTCAAACGGCTCTAGTAAATTATCCAGATAAACCTGTTTCTTGGAACAGGACTCTCCTCTGTTTACCACAGGCCTGTGTTTTCAGCTATGATAAGATGAAGCATAAATACAACGGACTGATTTTTCTCTCTTCCCAAATCCCCCACCCCCCCACCCCCCACCCACCCAGGAAAGTACCTGAGACAGAAACGCATTGACTTCCAGTTGCCTTACGACATCCTATGGTTGTGGAAACATGATCAGGTGATCAATCTTTCTGAGGTTCTTAGTATGTATTTTTGTTTCGACCACTTTTGCATTTACCGCTCTATTTCTTCCTTTCAGCTACACAAGAGGCCTGATGTCCCCCTTTATAAAAAAATAAGATCAAGTGAGTGAAAGGATTTTTTTTTTTTTAATTTCAATTTTTTTTAAATATAATTTGTAGCTTTGTTAAACTCAGGTGTTTCCCTATAAATATATAAGATAAGGATGTTTGCTTCACTGGTTACAAAAACAGGAATTAAAGATGTGTGTCTACAGTTCAACTTTGTGTGTCAAACACTGTAAGAATGATATGGTAATACTCTGTTTTATGTTTTATAGATGTTTATGTGGATGTGAAGCCTCTCTCTGGTTATGAAACAACTACATGCAACTGTAGACTTCCCGAAGACTCAACTGAAAAAGGCTGCATGGATGAATGCTTGAATAGGTAAAGATACACCATCATAATTGGTTGTTTTCAACAAGTCTCATATTACTTTTCAGTATTCAGATGAAGCCATGTGCTTGTTTAGAAATGTTATTTTACATCGCTTTGTTTTAGGAATTAAGTGATTTTGAATAGAGGGCAAAACATGGTGTCAAGACAGGAATGCCAGCCATTGCACTCCATCTCCATCTTCAGGCTGTCTTTCTCTCCAGTCAAACCTATCTCCATAGGAAGGGGATTTTTATTTTTTTTTATTGTTTGTAACCAGTATATCCTCTTCAATCTGACATCTTAAGTGTTGCAAACCTATTGAGTTTTTAGCATGCAGCAGAGCAAAGTAAAAACAGTAATGTGCTTCAGATGTTGTACAGAAACCATGCCTCAGGGGTGCTGAAAACAAGCAAGCACTGGCTGTTGAAAATATCCCTGTGGCACTGCAGTAGTTGACAGCATTTTGTAACAACTTGGCAAAGGTGTTAGTTTCTTCCATGGTTCTGATTGGATAGGACATTTTACAGTTGAGAATGAGTGGACTGAGAGGTCTGGAGTTTTGGGGATGGGGGGGTTGTCATGGTAATCAAGAAGCTTCTCGGATGACAGGTAATAACATCTTCAAGAAACATACATAACAGATACATAAGTCCAGTTGCTTTTCTTTCCAAGCTCCAATAATGGCAGCCTTATTTTATAATTTTTTTTTTAAATTATTTTTCACAGGATGAGCTTTGCTGAGTGTTCTCCCAGCACGTGTCCATGTGGAGATCATTGTGACAACCAGCATATCCAGAGACACGAGTGGGTCCAGTGTCTGGAGCGTTTCCGCACTGAGGGCAAAGGGTGGGGCATCCGCACCAAGGAGTCTCTCCGCTCAGGACAGTTCATCATTGAGTATTTGGGTGAAGTTGTTAGCGAACAGGAGTTCAGGTGAGATGGACATCTTCATTGCTATACAATGAAACTAGTGTTAAATGATGTATATATTTTTTTCTCTTATCTTCAACACATTCCTACCTTCCATGTTTTAGGAGTCGCATGATGGAACAGTACTTCTCCCACAGTGGCCACTACTGCCTGAACCTGGATAGTGGCATGGTGATTGATAGCTACAGAATGGGCAATGAAGCGCGTTTCATAAACCACAGCTGTGAACCCAACTGTCAGATGCAGAAGTGGTGAGTGTCACAGCAGCCTTGAACTGTTTCCCTGCTAATGCCCTTGTGGTGCTTTTAGGTGCTTACCAAAGAACAGATTTGGCTAAGCCTTTTTGGCTCTGAGCACGAGCAGTTGCCACAAGTTGTTAGGGATGGGATAGAGGCCTGGTGTGAACCACATTTGGTTTACAGATATAGAGTACTGCTTTTATACTCACTATGTGTCTATAATAGTCCAAATCGGTATAGGTTACCATGTGAGGCAGATATTGTCAGGTCGATTTAGTCACAGGGGATATTAGGGCACAGTGTTAAACAAGTGATGCTGTTCGATGTGACAGCAGTGTCACAGGAGCTCATTGCAAAGTCTTCTAGCTTGGTACTTCAGTATTTCGGTGGCTTTCTTGAAAGTCGGGGCATGTTAAAATAGACCAGCCTATTACCTAAATAGGCTGTCTGTGTGTTATTAAAATGGTCTTCTCTGCAACCGACTATAGCTATAACACACTAGGAATGGCCCAAAAGATGGTACCGTGGAATTTAGACAACTGGAGACAAGGCCAGCTACATAAAGTCCAGCCACGACCAGGGGTTATAGTAGGTAACAGTGCAGTATAATGATGTTGCAGCTCAAAATAATGTTTATTTATTGTGTGCCTTGTTTGGTGCAGCCCCTTTGTCTGAAATGAGCTATTTAACTCTTTTCTCATTAAAGCCACTCTACCTTTAAGACCATTTGATTGCTGCTACTGGCAAACAAAAAAGGTTGGAGCAGCAGGTTTGGAGAACAGGACATCCATCCTCACAAAAATACCAGTAACTAAGCATTTAATGCTGTCTGAAGCCTGTTATTACCTCCGCAAACACAGAACTGATTATTTGAAAATGTGCCATGTGGAATATGTGCAGGCACCATAGTAACAGTATGTAATAAATAACGCAGAAATTGGGGAAAAGTCTATTATATTCATGCAGCTGTACAGTTAAACCAGTTGAACAGACCTTGATAAGTAGTCACAGTGAATGCTAGGCAGTATTTGTTGCCTCTCTTTTGGTATCGTACATAATAGCTCTAAAAGACACACGTGTTGCAGGTGCACCGCTCTGTAAATGAGAAGGCTCTACCTTGAAACCCCAACCTTATTAATGTGGTTGTGGTAATCTGATGAGATCACCTCACTCCTTTTCTTCCAGTGTTCAGAGACCTTAATGGCTTAAAGCCCTTACACCTGCCAAAACAATTCTCTTTTTTTCCTGAGGGCTTGTTCTCGCAGCATGTTTAAATCCACAGCTCATGGAGACCTGGCTGAGCAGGCCTCCCTTTGCCTCGCTTTTCTAAGTGAAACCTGCTTAGTTTATCTTTAGTTCTTTTAGTGAACGTGCCAACTCTGTTAGAGGATTTGATTGTTGAAAGCTAATGACGACATAGAGTTTACTATCACGTTGTACCCTCTGCCCTCCAACGTAGACCAGTTCACAATCTAGGACACAGGTCTGCAGGTGCCTGCGTGCACTCCTGAAATAAAAGACTCTACAAGGATGGAGGATTTTCAGCACAAAGCCTGACGAGTCATCCGTCTTGTCACAGAAGAGAGATTACATGCAGCCGGGCCTTAGATACAGCTGTAGTGGCTGAAGACAATGCGCTGAATCAGCTTTTTACCCCTATATAAGGAATAAATTATCAAGCGGCTGGCAAGCAGAATGGTGTGTTTTATTCTTACAAGAATAGTGAAAAGCTGGAGCGCTGCTTCATTTGGAGAGAGGAAGAAAGGCATTACTTGTTGAACATTTGTCACACTGACTTCCCTTTTTGTCCCAATTTTAAAACTGGGTTTGATGTAATTGACTAATATTACATTTTAACTTTAAAATGAAAGCTTTGCTTCAGGGAGAATTTTGTGTTTGTACATCCTTGTGTAAAAGGGATATACCGTAATATGTTTTGGATGTAGTTAGTGATTATTATTTTTTATCCCTAGCCTAGAACTATACCCCTTGAAAAAGTGAATCTTTTCATGTGATCAAGTCAAAATGTTCACTATTAACCTGAAAAATAGACATTTGGGTATAATTATATAATGAACTGAAATCATATACCTGTTACCTAACCTTTTGGAAAGTGTGATTCAGTACTTAGTACCGTTTCCTCACAGCAACAAATGTTCTGGATTTGGATCTCTTGGTTGATGGAAGCATCTAAGTGTGGTTTGCACTTGGACTTTGTGATTTTCCCTCAGTTGTATGTGTTAAAGCACTTATGTTGCAAAGAATGGAGTGACCTATGAATATCATTAACTGTATATAAAAGGTGGACTGTTTTGAATACCTCCATTCTGTTTCTTCTGAGCCAGAGCAGACTAGAACTGGTGATGGTGGCTTGCTAAACCTTAAGCTGAAACTAGCAAGCTTGACTCATGAGATTTGTAAAATTGTAAAATGATTTTAGCCAAAGAGCTACTGTCCCTGATGACATTTCTTAATTTGAAGTGTGAATACATTGCAATAAAGTGCCAGCAGCAAAAACTGCACCATGCTGTAAATTTAGCAATATAGCATGGGAGTCTATGAAGATTGGTTTGCTTTTGGATTCAGCCTCAAGAGTCCAATAGAGGAACTGTCCTGAGGCTGCAAGCTGCTGGTCAGTGAAACCACAAAAACACTGCAAATAGAAGTTCATGTAGTACCCTTCTAGTTGTTGTACAGGCCCTTTTGGGACAGTTGTTACTACAGTAAGCTCAGATTTTGAAATGGAATCACCGAACTGCTATTTTATAAAAGCTGTTCCAGAGCCTGTGGGCAGGTTAAAACTTACCATGGTTCTTGCTTCCTTTCAAAGCGGAGAATATCTCCTTAAGTATTAAAAATCTCATAAAAGCTTCACTCATTGTAATATACTCATTTCTTGCAGGTCAGTGAACGGGGTGTACAGAATAGGTCTCTTTGCTCTCAGAGACATCAGCAGCGGGACTGAGCTCACCTACGACTACAACTTCCGTTCCTTCAATACAGAAGAGCAGGTGAAGCACTAGGAACAGTTTTGGAAGAACGCTTATTTTCAGACGTTCTGTTGCACCTGTGCATATTTCTCACATACTGTACTGCACTTTTCTCTGCAGCAAGTTTGCAAATGTGGCTCAGAGGGCTGCAGGGGCATCATCGGAGGGAAGAGCCAGCGTATTAATGGGTTGCCTGGGAAATCAGGAGGGACTCGGCGGCTCGGTCGACTCAAGGAGAAGAGGAAGTCCAAACACCAGCTCAAGAAACGAGTGAGTGATGCATATAGATGGAAGTGGTGAGAGTTTGCGGTGGGATCAGGTCACTTGTAATTAAGACTGGATAATGGCTTTTTTTTTTCCTATTACACAGAAATGGATTCCCTTGCAGCTTAATATCTTGTGTTAAAAAATTTTAATGAGGGAAAACTAACATTTTAATTGAATAGAAATCTAACTATCCTGGTAGATTTCAGGTGCAGTATCTATGTAGGGCACAAATCTTTCTTTGTCTCAGAGGTGCTCTTAGTGGGCCACGGGATTTCTAAAAAAAGTAACTCTGAGTACCTTAAAGGGGGTATAGTTTTGCATTAGTGACCTAAAATGTTTTCTGAACTTGCATGAAATCAGGAGTAACCTGCAAGTTATAGTGGGTTCCTCATTAATCATAATGGCAGTTCAATCCCCAACCCTCATTTAATCCCTCTGTGGCTCCTAAAGACTGAAGAGCACCTTGAATGGTGTTGTCACCGATGTGTGTGAATGAGAAACTGTTTAAGATGAGAAGACAGGCATTGTTTAATGGGACTTTTGTTATCTTCAGGAGGAAGAGTCAAGTGACAGCAGCAAGTTTTACCCTCATCTGATGAAGCCCATGTCCAACAGAGAGAGGTAAAAACATAAACGGACACACAAGATAAGAAGAGGAAGCATAACTCTAGTGGGCCAACTGATAAATTGTGTTTGGGTTCCCACGCATCCTTAAAAGTATAAATCTGACCTGTAGGCTTGTGAGAGGTTTTATATTTTAAGGTGGTAATACTAGTATCAATGAAATATGTTTCTTTAACTGTGAGTGCAATGACCTTTTAAATTTCTGCATTTTTGCTGAAAAAAATGGTAACAATAAGAATTTAAGCAGTTGAGCCCACTTTTTCCACTGCTTGTTGATGATCAGTCAGGAGACAAAATGTTTCTCCCACTGAAAATGCAACATCCAGATGAGCAGAATTAACTTTCTGGGATTTCCTTACCTGATAATTGAGCATGCGTCAAGTCAACCACCCACACAGTTTCCAAAGTGATTTCCTGTTTCAGTCACATGAATCAAGCAGGGATAAAATAGCAGAAACTTTTTTTTTTAGTTTTAAAAAGCCATCACCAGTGATAGACATAATCACAATTCCTTTAAGACTTGTACACAGGAATCTGCTTGAACCCCTCATTCATATGCACCTGGGAAGCCAGTGACACATTTTTATTAAATTTCTTTTTCCATTGCACATAATGCTTGCTTCTCCATTCTAATAGAGTGGTTTATTAATACACAAGACATATATATGTCATTTAAAAGTAAAAACTTCTCAACTCATGAGGTGTGAGTTGATGGTAACACATTTAAACGGTCTCCTTTGATTTCCAGAAACTTTGTGTTGAAGCATAGAGTTTTTCTCTTGAGGAACTGGGAGAAGATGAGGGAGAAACAGGAGCTGCTGAAAAGAGAGGGCGAGAGAGAGAGGGATGCCAGCAGCCTGTCCATGTATACGCGCTGGGGAGGAGTCATCCGTGATGATGGCAACATCAAGTCAGGTACAAGCTTAAGAAATTCAGATGCAAGTAATTTAAGCTATGTAAAGAATAGTGTACGATAAAGGGGACACGGACATTTATTTTTGAAATGTAGACAAAATTCAGAGACTGTAAATATGCAGATGTTTTAGACGTTAATGCTGAATGGTCATATCTTGTGTCCAGACGTGTTCCTGACGCAGTTCTCAGCCCTGCAGACGTCACGGTCGGTACGCACACGAAGGCTAGCTGCAGCCGAGGAAAACACAGAAGTAACACGCACCGCTCGCCTTGCTCACATCTTCAAGGAGATTTGTGACATGATAACCAGCTACAAGGGTAAGTGACCCCGGTCACGCTGATATTCTCATTAGTATGACCTCTAGCCTGATCTGGGGTCTGATCAGGCTTCTTGAAGGAATCTTTCAGTGCCTCGGTGTAGCTGTCCACTGTTTACTGAATGATAAGAATCTGTGATTGAAAAATGATGACAGGAATGTTATTATTTTCTTTTAATCTCAGACTCCGCTGGTCAGACACTTGCTGCCCCGCTGGTGAACCTCCCATCTCGAAAGAGGTAAGAGTGTAAACCTGCATATCGACAAGCTGTTTCATGTTTACCAAACAGCGCCTACTTATGTTATCTGGTCTATCTGTGTACAGCACCCACGTAGTGTAACAGTTTTATCTCTCGCCACACACAATCGTGACAGCCTGTGTGTTGATGCTTGTCCAGTATTGATAGTAATCAGCTGGTGTCAAAACAATAGCAGCTTATTATTTTTCTTCAGCTACATGGTAAAAAAAAAAGCTGTTATAATCTGGGATTTGTTGCCCTGTATGCTCATAGAAATTTGAGTTTTGGTTGAATCTGATTTAATAAGTTTTGAACTGAATGTTCTCCTTCCTTTTTTTGTCCTCCCACCCACCTCTGCTACTGACAAACCAAATTTGGAGCCTAATTCTTTTATCTTTGTGCACCATCAGGAACAGCCAGTACTATGAGAAGGTGTCTGACCCGCTGGACCTGAGCACCATTGAGAAGCAAATCCTCACGGGCCATTATAAGACGGTTGAAGCATTTGACACAGACATGCTCAAAGTATTTCGCAATGCTGAGGTAGGCAAAGGACCAGTTCACATGTTTGTAGTAGAAGAAATTAGGATTTTATTTATTAGTAATGATCAGAAGCTGTTCAAGTAAAGCAGCTAAACTGAGGAACTCAGATCTCTGTGATGCATTCCTTAGTTTGCATTTTTAGAGCCATAAAAAAAGAGGTAGATTAATCCAATGAGAATTTTTAAAAATGCGGGTAGAAATTGAGGTGCACTCACTAGCCACTCAATGTAACCATGCCTAGATGACCTGAATATTTTTATTTAGAAACTCAGTGAAATGTAAATACCAGCATATTAGTTTGTTCTATCATCTCTGCTCTCTCTTAATTACTTGCTAGCTCTCTCAATGGGTACTTCCTTTATTGATCTTTTAACTTTAATTTTTATATTGCTAGACAATAAGATTCCTGATTCATCCATTATTAATATTATTGATATATATACTTCATTGTGTGAATGGAACAGCTGCACATCAGCTTGAAAATCACTGAAGATGTAGAGAGTAAGAGTCTTATGAAGCAGCTGGAAATAAATTGTGTTCCTATTTCAACTGGTGAAAATTCACAAGTTTATGCTGCTAGTAGTCTAATAACATGTCCTGAGGGATACACTCATCCATGAAAATGATAGTTTTCTGAAATTTTTGGTTTGGTGTCAAACTACTTGCTTAATCAGTGTCATAGATCTGTTAGTCCGTTTGTTAGCAGTCATTAGAAACTCAAACATGCTGGTGGCACGGAGGCATTCAGCTGTTGGAGCATCCAGTCTTAATCTTTGAGTGACGCGGCCATGCCGTGGACTCTTGTGTGTAATCCCAGACTCTTAGAGCTCAATTATCAAAGGGCCTCGTCAAATTGATACTTAACGCTGTTATTGTGCAGCTTCAACACTTTCTTCCTCCCACTCAGTCATTGCTTTTCTTTCTCCTGTCTCGCACACAAAAACCTCCCAAATGGAACATAACTTCGCGACTGCTGATCCTGTGTGCACATGTTGCAAGGCTGTTTGATTTACATCTGTATAGCTAAGCAGTTTAAACAAGTGCCACTTGAAAAGCTCTCAGGGAAGCTTACTCTTCCAGTCAGAGAAGTTTGAAGTGGACGTATAAATTAGAATCACCCTCTCGCCCCAAGGCCCTTTCTGGCGGACTGAAAAAGTGTGAGAGGAATGTGAATTACTGTTGAATGTGGGTGTAGCCTTGCCGGTGAAATTTTGGCAGCTGCAAAGACAGTTTTGAATGAATCTTTCTGTGTCGATGACCTTTGTCCTGCAGGAAATTGCCCGTAGACTTTCAAGGATGAACAACTCAAAGCCTTAACCGTGCGAGTGAATGATGAGCGTGTAATTCTGGGGTCAAATGGGCATTCCTCGGCTTTAAATATCATCACTTTATGGTGTCTGTGAGGTCCTGTTGTCCTTTTGCTCTGCCAGTAACGGATTGATTTAAAAGATTTTCAGCAACTGTCTCGTTTTCCCACCAGAAATATTATGGGAAGAAGTCATCGATAGGCAGAGATGTCTGTCGGCTGCGGAAAGCCTACTACAGTGCTCGTAATGAAGCTGCAGTCCAGATTGATGAGATAGTGGGCGAGACCGCCAGCGAGGCAGACAGCTCAGACTCGCTGGACCGTGACCACGGTCATCACCACCACACAGGAGGGCCCGGGTCTCACGACAAGGATGACGATGTCATCCGTTGCATCTGTGGAATGTACAAGGATGAAGGTCTGATGATTCAATGTGAAAAGTGTATGGTAAGTAAAAAAATATCAGAAACAGTCTTTACTTCGACCTCTCTTCTTTTATCTCACTTGCTGATGGTGTAGAACTATTTTAGCGTCTCTCTAAAGACTTCACCTATCTGAGAAGTACTTTGTCAAGGAGATTTTCCATGCAGAGGATGCAGGCAGTCTTTTGTGTGTGTTGTCTGTTATTTTTAGATACAGAAAATGAGGAGGATAACAAATACTGAAGGAGCTTAAGTTCAGAGGTTCAGAAACAGTCGAGGTGGTGAATCACTAACGCAGAGGGGTTTTTTTGGGGTTTTTTTTTTAGCATTTCATACGAGCTGTAACTCAATGTTACTTACAGTAACTGGTTTGAAAAGTCTTCTTTTTTCTTTTTTTTCTTATGCATTTATGTGATTTAATAATTTTTTTCCATCATAGGTGTGGCAGCACTTTGACTGTATGCGACTGGAGACTGAGGTGGAGCACTATCTGTGTGAACAGTGCGATCCCCGGCCTGTAGATAGGGTGCGTCTGTTGTTTCGAAACCACAGTGGATGATGAACTCCTTAAAGTCTGTTTTTATTTGTTTGTTGGTGTTGTTGTTTTTTGGCTAGAAGTGTCTCAGATGTGTCTTATCCTCACTACAGGAAGTCCCCATGATACCCCAGCCCAGCTACGCCCAGGCTGGCTCTGTCTACTACATCTGTCTCCTTAGAGATGACCTGCTGCTACACCAAGGTATCTAAATCATAAAGCAATCGTAAGCTCACACATGCCTGGAAAACTCCCTGTACTCACAGAGAAATGTATCATTTTGATGCAATGATTTGCATGCTGTGTTACTCGGGGGCAACCTGACGTGATTGATGTGGTTATACATGCAAAAGTGTGCACTTTTGACCACACCCAACCACATCTGCCTCAACGGTTAGGAGTGGTCAGAAGTGAAACAGCTTGAAACTTTGAATCAGAAACATTCATTTCAGCTTAAGGCTGAGTTGTTCTTTAAGGTTTGTTTTTGTCGATTATTTTATTGCAAATGCCATAATGTATTATTGCAACTTATCAATAGAAGATTGCTTAAAAAAGTTTATCTAACTTCTCTGCAAACTTTAGACATACAAGAGATCTGCAGCGGAGAGAGTCTGATATTCTAGGTGACTTAAGTGGTCAGATTCTTGTGAGACATATTATTGTAGATAAGTAACTGATCTCTGTGTTTGTTTGTGCGCAGGTGACTGTGTGTATCTGATGAGAGACAGCAGACGCTCACCTGAGGGTCAGCCTGTCAGACAGTCTTACCGTCTCTTGTCTCACATCAACCGAGACAAACTCGACATCTTCCGAATTGAGAAGCTGTGGAAGAACGAAAAGTAAGTTTATTACCTAAACAGGCAGGGAGAATAAGTGTGTGTGTGTGTGTGTGTGTGTG